CATTCTGGTAACTAGCCTCTGATACATCGCCCCTGCGTTTTTGAGTCCGAAGGGCAACACCTTGTAGCAACACGTTCCCTGGTGGGTGATGAAAGTTGTCTTTTCTTGGTCCTCCTCGGCCATCATGATCTGGTTGTAGCCGGAGTAGGCATCTAGGAAGCTTAGCAGCTCATGCCCTGCTGTGGCGTCGATCAACTGGTCGATGTAAGGTAACGGGAACGAGTCCTTTGGGCATGCCTTGTTAAGGTCTGTGAAATCTACGCACATCCTCCACTTCCCGTTTTTCTTTTTGACCATGACGACATTTGCGACCCATTGGGGATATTTTGATTCCCTTATGGACCCGTTGGCCAGTAGTTTATCTACCTCTTCGCTGACGGCCTCGTTGATTGCGGTGTTGAACTTTCTTCTAACTTGCCGCACGGGTGGATATAGTGGGTCGACGTTCAGTTTGTGGGTGGCAATGTCTCTTGGTATCCCCGGTATATCTGAATGAGAAAAAGCAAATAGATCTGCGTGGTTAGTTAAAAATTCATGGTACTTACTTGGGTCGCAGAGGCCGTGTCCGATGTAGGCTTTTCTCGAGTGGTCGGTGTTGTCCAGTTGTACTGGGTTGAGATCCTCGATCGTTGCTTTGCAGTCTTCTACGATGTCTGGATCTTTGATGGCTTCCGTTGTCGGGTCGACCTTAGTCCCCGACACGGCTGATTGCTATGCTTCTGCACTTGCTCCTTTCAACTACTTGGTGTGTGAGTAGTCTTGAGCGATTCGGTAGCATTATTGCGCGGTGCGCGGCTCGCCCCGAATGCTAAATATTCCCCAAAGGGTGGGGAACTTGATCACTGTGTAGAAGCTTGAGGGGACTGCTCGCATGGCGTGTATCCACGGGCGTCCTATGATGGCGTTGTAGGCTGTTTCTTGGTTCATATCGTGGAAAGTGGTTTCCAGCGTAACTCCTCCTGCTAAAATCGGCAATGATACCTCCCCGGAGGTTCGTTCCACTGCATTGTTAAAACCTGTCAGTGTTATGCAACGCGGTATTATCCTATCTTCGAGCCTCATTTGCGCGAGGACCCTTGGATGGATAATACAGGCGCCGCTTCCATCATCAACCATGATTCTCTTAACATCAGTGTCAGCAATACGTAAAGTTATGACCAAAGCATCATAATGAGGAAAAGACAAACCGTCGACATCTGACTTATCGAAGGTGATACTTTCTTCGAAGTCATCATACCGTTCGTGGGCGATTTTTCGCTTCAGTTTGTGCGAAGTGGTGAACTTTACAAGGTTGATTGCTGAATCGTCGCCTCCTCCGACGATCATGTTGATGGTACGTGTCGGCGAAGGCGGCTTTGGCGGCCCTTGAGGTTGATCCCGCCCTCGTGCGAAGTTGATCTTTCCCTTGTCGCTCAGTAGCTCCCTTAAGTATCCTTGGTTCAGCATTCTGACCACCTCCTGCCGCAGCCCTATGCAATCTTTGGTTTTGTGCCCTCGTTCTTGGTGGAACTCGCACAGGACATTTGACTTTCTCATGGCGGGGTCTGATTCATTTTCTGCGGCCATTGTACCTGGTGCCCAGCTTCTCCAGTGCGTACACTATTTCTGAGGGAGACACACAAAAGTTATAGGCGGATAATAAAGGGGGCATACCTCTTTCATTACGGAGTGGGGCAACATGTCGCTGCAGTGCTTCTGTGTGTCTAGGCGGTGGTGGATGTGAGGATCTGACGTAAGGCTGCTCCCTTTCTTTGTTGAAGCGCGAGGATTGTTCCCGCCGGCCCTCGCTGCGTCGATCCCTCCTTGCTTCTGACTGTATTGTCGTGAGTCGCTGGGTTGGTCCGTTGAGGTCATCCTCGTCTGCTCGTACCTCGGCGCAGTAGGCGTTGTGGATCTCTTCCCATGTGGTGGGAGGATACTTCATGAGTCGGCTTAGTAGCTTTTTGGTTGCTCTCGAACCATCTCTGCTCAGCCCGTTTTGGAAAGCTGCGACCGCCATGCCTTACGATACATTTGGTAGGCTCATCCTTACTCTGTTGAATCTGACCAGGAAGTCCCTTAGTCCCTCACCTGCGGTTTGTCGGACGGCGAAGATATCGTTGACCCTGGCCTCTGCTTTCTTAGCTCCTGCGTGGGCGGTGGCGAACTTATCCGCCATTTCTTTGAATGTTGATATCGTTCTGGCTGGCAACTGTGAGTACCATGTTAGCGCCCCCCCCCCCCCGTCAACGTTTATCCGAACTTTTTCAGTAGTACGTATGGTACTTGTTCCTTTGACAGATCGCTACCCTTCACAGCGGTCACATAGTGGATCAGGTGGTCTTCGGGGTCCCTCGTCCCGTCATATATCCTTAAGTAGGGTGGCATCTTGAAGGTTTTTGGGATCGGGTGAGGTGCAGCTTCTTCGTTGTATGGTTGTTCGACGAATCTTCCCGCGTCACGCTTTGGTAGTAACTTAGGAGCGCCGGGAATTTTGTCTACTCTTTCCTGATGCTCTTTCATCTGATCCCGAAGTGCTTTGTTTTCATTCTCCATTTACTCCATTTTTTTAGGATGGCTGCAAGTGTACCATCGCTGGTCTGGCCATTGGTGTGGTCGTTGTTTGTACGTACAGTATCTTGTTCACCGGTGGTAGCGATGTCTGTCGTCAACGGGTTCTTAATGTTGCTTTGGGGCGATTTTTCGAGCAAGCTGCCTAGGGTGTTCGTCAACCATTCTTCCAGTAGCTTCTTGACCACCGGGGGTGGTGCTTCTTTGACTGCAGACGTGGAAGCCCCCTTTTCTTGCATGATCGTCAGATCTTCAGATGGGGAGGGTGAGATTTCTCCCTCTTGAGTGTTACCAGGTGTTGTGCTCAAGATGTTTTCTCTGCAGGCCTCGTTGAGGGGGCCCATGAGGTTGGTTGTGACGCCTGCTATTGCTTAATCTTGCGTCATTTTCCGCCATTTTTTTATTTCAGTAGGGTGTGAAGGAAGGTGGTTTATTTTTGATGTTCTAGGTGCAAACTATGATTTCGATTGCCGAAATCCCCACAGACGGCGCAAATTATTTGGCTCAAAAGATACTAATTACTTTGTAAGCGAAAACAATCAAAATGAATCAAAGGTAAATCGTAATCGAATATAATTAGACCTAGAAATATGTATTATGCTTGTGATTGTTTCAACAACTTGGATATTCGAGAGAGAGTAAGAGAAAGCTTGTTGAGAGAGAGAGAGAGAGAAATAGAAGAAAAGATAGCTTATTATTGAAAAGATCCCCCCTCTACAACATCGGGATTCTCCTTTATATAACAAGAGAACCCCCTCAAAAATAATAAAATAATACAGGGATAGGTCACGTGCTTTAGAGGAGACGATGAGACCTAAGGACACGCTTTCGCTCTGACATTCTTAGGTCGTCCCCTCTACTTCGGCTATTACTTAGTCGTAGGTCGTTGCTACCATAGTGGGCAGAATTCGACCCCATACAACTTTAAAAGAAAAGGATGCATAACTAAAACTAAATGCGTTGAACTCGTCTCTACCCCAAATTAAATTGCCTATTTAAGACATCCTGATAAAATTGAAATACTAGAACAGGCTTATGACGTCAATTTCGATGCTTTGTATTTCTTCCCATTTTTTAGTAATGCCACCTAAAATTAATATCAATAAACACTAAGCACTTAAACATGTCATGATATTTATATAATTATAAAAGCAAAGTCTATTACGTTAATAGACTAATAAACAAATAGTATCACCAGGGGCGGAGGCACAAGCCGATCTACGGATTCGAACGAACGCAGTAGATTTTGCTCAAATAACGTATTTGGTGTTTTGAATTCATGTATAAATATTAAATCTAGAACTCAGTCATTAACACTTGAAGTCGTGGTTCCAAAATCCAGAACCCATAAGGTTGAAATCCTGGTCTCGCCTCTGAATATCACATAAAATGATGAACTAATTAAAGGAATACAAGACAAGTGGTATTTAACTCAGTTGACGAGACATCTCAACTTAAAAGGACAGCTCGGTGCACTAAGCTCTCGCTATGCGCAGGTCTAGGGAAGGGTCGGACAAGAATCTATTATCCGCAGCCTTATCATGTATTTTTGCAAGAGGCTGTTTCCACGACTTGAAAAAGACATCTCAACTTCCGATCAGTAATTAAGTCGAGACTCGAGAGCTTGAGCCCTGGATGGGGTGAGAAAAAGAAATTAAAAGAAAATAAAAAGCTCATATACATAGCTAATTAGTCTCTTATCCATGTTTAGTTTCTCTGAATGGATTAATCTCTACAAAAAACTGTTGGACTTTAAAGGCATTGAGCTTCAATGCTTTAAAGTATAAGAGTGTGAATTGGAAATGGTGGGAAATAAAATGGAGGGAAATGAAAGTTTGAATGAAGTGAGCTTTTGACTTGCACTTTGTCCTCATTGGTGAGGGACAACTACATTTGTGTGCTTATATATAGAATCACTTGTTAAAGCTCTTAAAAGGAGTTGAAGAGAATGATCCCTCGCGCCGTCGTCGTCGCTCGCTCGGCTTCGACTTCGGCTTTGGATTTGTCAAATGATCGATCGATAAGATTATTTTTGGACAAAATTTATTTAATAATTAATTAAAATGCCATATCACTACTAAAGATTCAACACCTCTTCCAATAATTGCCTATAAATTCTTAGGCATGTCTTCGTTTTTAACACTTCTGAAAATACTGCATTCTAATTCGCAGTCTCTCTCTCTCTCAAATTCGTAAGTGTGATTTTGCTCCGTTCTTTAAGTTCGTTGGTATCCTGCAGTTTGTATTGCCACTGTTGCAGGAAGGTTTATTCCGTTTTATCCTGGGAGGATTTAATCCATTACCTTGGCAACGTGTGAGGAGGTTAAAATTCCTTAAGGACGCACAAGCAAATTGTGGACTCGGAATATTTCTCAATCTTTACTGTTTTTCCAATTTCTTTTATTCTTCTATCAGTTTTTCTGATTTTGTATTTTAACACAGTAGCAACAACAAAAACAAAAATTCCAATACATATATTCCATCAACTAGAAAAAGGAAATGTTGAATTATTACATCCAAACGAAGAATTAAATCCGTCATTAATATCTTCTAACCCCGCAAAGAAATCTCCATCAAACATGTCTTCAATTGAAACACATTCATTCTCATCACTTCCTTCAAACATATTATTCTCTTGATTGATTTCTATTTCTGGAAATTGTGATTCACTAATATTGGATTCAATATTCAAAAGGGTTGCTTTGGATAATACTAAATTTGATGTTGAACCATGGGTACTTGAAATTTTTTCTTTCTCTATTTTTGGACTTTCATTTTTATTGGAATTGTTTGAGGTTGGAAATTTGGTTTTAATAGTACCAGCAAGAGAATTTCTACGAGTTGGCTGACTATGGTTATGTTCAGCTGTGTATGTCACAATAAAAGACCCAATTTCAGTGCAACTTTGTTCTACTTGTTTTCTTGCTAAACATCCCTTTGAGCTGCTGCACCTATAATAGCTCCTATATTTAAGGAAAAATAAAGAGCGTCAGAATAACTGAAGAGTTACAATTTTCTTTTTTTAACAATCAGTTTTGGTTAAGAACTTTTCACTTCGAAAACTCTTCCAAATAACAAACATAACCAGAAAACAAAAACAAAATATATACGAATATCACCAAAAAGCAAAATAGTATTGTAACAAATACAACCAAAAACCAAAAGAGATTATAACACACGTAAGCTAAAGAAGTGAAAGGACCAAATTCAGCTAGAATTGATCATCAACTAGAGTAGATAGAACTAAGAGCCCGTTTGGCTTAGCTGATTTAGAGTAACTGATAAGCATTAGGTGCTAAAAAGCAATTTTAAGTGCTGAAGCTGATTTAAAAAATAAGCAGTTACGTGTTTGGATAAAAGTGCTGAAATTAATACTATGCAGCTAAAGAACTAGGTATACGAAGAGTTTTGTTTTAACAAGAAGTATTTTAGTGATAAAATAGTAAATATTTTGGTCAAACTTACAGTGCTTATAAGCTGAAATTTGATAAGTTGGGGGAGACCAGCTTATGGCTTTTGGCTTATCTTTGACTTATAAGCACTTTTAATTTTTGTCAAACGTGTAGATAGGTCAAAAAGTACTTATAAGCCGGTTTGACCAACTTATAAGCTTAGCCAAACATCCTCTTAATTCATATATATGATGATTTAGTAATTGGTGTATCAAACGTCATGAGGTAATTAACATACGATATACATGGTAGGTTCTAAGCTCTACTTTGCTTACAATAAACATACATATACATAGTACATATAGGGCAGAAGGTTCGAGATTATATGAAAAAACATTAAATTTCAACAATATTAAGTTCTGAACTCATAATTGCAAAAGTACATAAGGTTCGATGGTGAGATTATAAAAGTTGAATCCATCGAGTTCAAATCTTAAATTTGCCCTCTGTATATATGTGTACCGAAACGAAGTTAGGATTTGAAGCTAGTAGGTTCAAAATTCTATTCATTCTAAGTTACTGGATTCTAAATTAATAATTTATACATATTCAATGAATTTTTAAAGACAAATACAGAGTTTGGACCAAAGTACTGGGTTTGACCGAACCCGCGTCCGAAGCTCTAGCTCCGCCCATGTGTGTGTATAATTCAACAACAACAACAAACCCAATGTATTCCCACAAGAATTCAATAAAATAACTGATTTTAGAAATTAAGAACTAGTACCTTGGATAAGGGGAGCCTTTGATGGGTTTTTGACCATATTTTCGCCACGCCCATTTATCAGAAGAAAGATCTTCTGCTTTTAACTGAAACACCACTCTCTTCTGCTCATTCTTCCTGTGAAAAAATAATCAACTTCATATCAAAAACCAAATACTTTAATCAAATCCACATAGTATAAATTTTACATTATAATTAATCAAAGAAATTAAAACACCAAGGGAGCTTGGCGTAATTGATAAAGTTGTTGTCATGTGATTAGGAGTTCATGGGTTCGAGCGGTGGAAACAGCCTCTTGCAGAAAGGTAAAGCTATATACAATAGACCTAATTATGGTCCGGCCCTCCGTCGAACCCCGTGCATAACGGGAAGTTAGTGCAACTCTTTAAAAGAAAGTAAAACACCATTTTCCTTACCTTCTTTTGTATTTTGGTACATAAGTAGGAGCAGCCACGAGACCAAAAGATTGCTGCTCGTTTTCTTCTTTCTGTTCTTCTTTAGGTTCTTTAGGAAAAGAAATAGAAGAAGCCATTAACGTATTTTGTCCAACAACAGGGTAAAATGGCTTGTAAAGCTCTTCTAGTTCATCATTCAAAACCTCCGTTTTCATCTCAGAAAAAGCTAAATATTCACTTTCTTGAAAATTCAAAGGAGAAAAATAAGATTTTTGATCAATATAATTTGCTCCGTATTGGATATTACTACAGGTTGATGATCCTATAACAACAGCTTGTAGACCCCAATCCATCATTTTAAGCTCTTGTTTCTTGAATATACAAAGAAGAGGAAACTGAAAATAATGGCGCTGACTTTTTGATAGCTAAAATATGCAGTTTGAGGTCTATTTAAAGACTGAAAATATTATTAAATTCGTGGATATTTTTTTTTCTTTACACACAGAGAAAGAGCGAGATAGTTTTGTTTTTTTTGGTTATTATACGATGGATTCATGAGTTGACTTTGTTACAATGTCAAAGGGTAATAACGTTTAGCAAATAATACACGCTTTTGTCTGAATTTTTGGCTTTTAAGTTCTCATTGTTGACTAAGTGATCAAATCCTACTTAGATGATCTGTCTGAGGAATAATCACGGGCGGAGTTAGGATTTAAACCTTATGGGTTCGGGATTATAATTATTTTAAGTGATTTGGTTTTAAATTAATAATTTGTACAAATTCATTAGATTTCTTAATACAAATACAAGATTTGATCAAAAGCTAATGGATTCGGCAGAACCCGCAACCAACACCGTGGCTCCGACCATAATGACACTCCGTATGAATATGTCAGGATGTTTTTTAAGTCGAATTTTATTTGGCCTTTCACTAAATAAAGGGTTGTATACAGTTAATTAATGATTTATTAGTGTTGCTAATTAATTTGCATACCAATACAATTTAAGTATTTGAAATACAAAGGATGAATTAAGAATTAGCCAGCTTGTTTTTGTTTTTTTCCTTCTTTTTGGCATTTTTAATTTCCAGTATATGCCCCATTTGGCAAAGGGCACTTTCTACTTCTGGTAGAAAGTTAGAATCATTAACGTTTGAATCATTACATTGGTGTCTTCTTATATGATCTGGATATTCTCATGTATCATATGAGTAGTTTTGGGTTAAGTTAAGGTATAAAGTTATACAAAGTTCCATTTCCTTAGAAGAATTAATCCAAATATTCGTCGAGTTAGGCTTAATGAATGTATTCTTAACAATAAAGAGAGATACTTATAAATTAGAACTTATGAATCCGTTGAGTTATAAATTATGTACACGACCATAAATGCATGAGTAATATATCCAAACTCAATGATTTAATTATTATTCCAAATTAAAAAGAGTAGTATCAATTACCATAATAATTTATTCATGTACAGTACAAGTGTGAAATATTGTTAAAAGGACAAGAAAGAAATATGTTCCATATATATTTAGAATGTTCTTGCTCATCATTCATACATAAGTTATGTATTTATAAGAGAAAACAAAAATAACCTAACAAAATTAAATAAGCCAATTTTACAAATTATTGTATTCCACGTACTTATTGAATAAAATTATAAGAATGTATACTTATGATGAGAAGAACTAAAATACTAATATTGAAACATTAAAATTGAATTGGCTCCCAAAAGTCCACATTAAGATATTTATCAATCGAATGACTCAATTATTATCAAGTAACAACGTAAGCATATGACCCATAAGGGACGAAACGAAACAAGAAAATGGTAGCACGCGGGCAAGTTGCGTTATGTTGTCTCCTATTATAAAAATAGTTATTTAATTAGCAAATATATTGCGTGAAATAGAGGGAACTTTGAGTAAAACAAATTAAATAAATCTTCCACCCCTATAGTATCTTTTTTTATATTAAATGGACCACCATTTATGGGGTTACCATGCCTAATTATTCAGTATTTTCTTCTCTACCACCTTAGCCATTTGGCTTTATTATTTAACATACTCCTATTAGCACTACTACTATTACATCACATACATAGGTGTATGCAGGGGCAGTAAACGGGCGGGTCAGGTTGAATATGGGCGGGTCAAAACAGATAATATAAAAAATGAATAAATTATCTGATCCGATCCATATTTACTATAGATAGAAAACGAGTTAACCGCCGAATAATATGGATATTTATATGATCCGCTGCTTCTTGAATATGATCATTTTCTGGGAATTTTTTAGTCTCCCAAACTTGAGTAATCTCCAATTTGAGTCGTTACAAAGGTAAAAGTTAAACTCTCTAGTTATCCATCGGTATGCATTTCTAAGTGGATAATACAGTTTTTATCCATATGTTACCCGTTTTTAAAAAGTTCGTTATCCAACCTTTTTTTTTGTGGATAACTGTTTTTTAATTCATTTGCCACCACTAGGTGTATGTATACATATGTATGTATATTAGCTATTATAGGGTGCTAGGTGTATGTATACATATATGTAATTAGCTATTATAGGGTGGGGTGTACTACAGAGGGTAGGTAAAAGAATAGAAAATGAAAAGATTTGAAAGCTCTAGTTTTTGGAATTGAGGACTGAATTGTCAAAGCAACTAGATGAGAGAAACCGTGTTTTTCTTACTTTTTTGTGTTTTTCTTAAGAGAAAGCTTCACATCAGTCGGTAGTTCAAATTCAATATTTCACGCAGCAAATTGTGTTTTTTCCTTTTTTTTGTTTATATGTAAATTATACAACTTGCTATCATGAATTTATCATGCCAAGAATATTTAATATATTAAAGAGGTGACTACTATATGCCCTACAGAATTTTCAGGAAAGAGATAACTCAACTTTTTTATAAGATAAGACGAAGAATAATCTAAAGAGTGGGATTTTAATTTATGATTCTATTAAAGGTAAGTCTTTTTCAGTAAATAATTTATTCTCAACAGTCCAATTTGCTACCCTTTTTTTTGCCTATTCCAGATTTATTAATCGTACATGGTTATAAATGAATATATATATATATATGTATATAGACGGTAAAATGATAGGGCACAGCGAAAGTTATGGAGTTATATAATATAACCAGAGTTCAATTTCCACTACTTTTTAATTTTCAACATACTCTTATCTTACAAGTTACAACCAGGCACCGCCAAAAATAATTAATCCTAAAATTTACTCAATTTTCGAACGATTTCTAGCTCATTCACCCATTTTTCAAATGTCACACATTTGACCTGAGCCTGTGTCTAGAAAAATTATAAAAGTCTGGGAAAAGAATCTTAAAATTCACATCACATGTCAACAAAACAACGATATTGACTGATTTAGCTTTTTTCAGGGGGCTCAATTCAATTTACTGCTTTTAACTCGGTCCATGTATATACATGTTAATAAATTTAAAACTAGTTGATACGAGCTGAGCTAAGTAGCAGAAAATGAGAGAAAATGCAAGAAAAGCAATGGAACACTAAATGAAAGAAGGAAAAAAGAAGTAAAAAACATGAAAGAAAGCTAAATTAGAGCAGCAAAAATAAGGGTTTTGTATATTGATTGATAAAGAAGGAGAAGATCATTACAATATATAGCATTGCAACCCTAAATGCCTTAGTTGGCACTGTACTATCGCTGCCCAGTATTAGCAACAGAGCTGGACCTAATATGTTTTGATAACCCACATGTTTAGGGTCAATGTGTAATTACTATAACTATAACTTAAAAGTAAAGAGGACTAAACTGCCAATCGTGCAAACTTCCCCTAACCTCCTTCCCAACTGATTATAACGGCTACGTACACCTGCGCAAGCACAACGTACCACAGCGTTAAGCTCATCTCTATAGAATTCGTATCAGATCCCCCTCGTTAAAATCTTCCTTGTCCTCAAGGAAGAAATGTAGGAAACCTGATTTTGAGAGAATGGTAATTCTCCCAAGTGGCTTGGTCTGGCGATGCTTTATCCCATTGAACCAACACTTGCGCAACAGCCTTGTTTCCCTTTTGGATCATCCTTTTTTCGAGAATCTGCTGAGGTTAAGGGCAGTATGGACTGGATATATCGATTATTGGTGGGTGTGAAATGGTGTCAGGTAGCTTATAGCAGGGCTTAAGTTGAGATACATGGAATGCGTGATGAAGTAGGAGCTGAGAAGGCATGGATAGCTTATATGCGACATTACCAACCTTTTGCAAGATTTGGTAAGGACCATAGTATTTTGCTGAGAGATGGAGAAGTGAGTGCCTGAAGTGTCACCTGCCTATAAGGTTGTATCTTGAGGTAAACCCAGTCCCCCTTCTTTGAATTGCCTATCACTTCTATGTTTATTAACTTGGTCAGTCATTCTCTGTTGTGCTCTTTGTAAGTGATATTGCAACAGCTGATATTTGAATTCTCTAGTCAACAAACTTCTGTCCACATCTTGCATAGCTGAATCATCTGCCATGTATGGTAAGTGAAGTGGTGGAGGCTGGCTATAAATTGAGGAGTGAAAAGTAGTGTTATACCGCCACTCAGCTGCTGCTAAATAAGAGGACCAGTCCTTTTGAGAGTCAGAGCAAAAATACCTAAGATAGGTCTCCAAGCACCTGTTAACAACTTCTGTCTGTCCATCAGACCGTGGGTGGTAGGGTGTAGAAGTGCTAAGAGTGACACCACTCATTGAGAACAACTCCTGCCATAGCGTACTAGTGAAGACGGGATCCATATCACTCACTATATCCTCTAGCATGCCATGTAGTCTGAACACATGTTCCATAAATAGCTTTGCAATGTCAGTGACAGTATAATGATGGTTCACTCCTATGAAGTGAGAATACTTGGTTAATCTATCTACCACCACCCATATCACTGTCTTCCATTTATCTTTAGGTAACCCTTCAATATAATTCATGCTAATACTACTCCAAGCCAATGAGGGAATCTTGAGTGGTTGTAGTAGTCCAGGATAAGGTACTGTCTCATACTTGTGCCTCTAGCATGTGTCATATTCCTTGACATATGTTTGAACATCTTCCTTCATTCCTCTCCAATAGAAGAGTGCAGCTATTCTTCTATAGGTATGATCTATGCCTGAATGACCTCCAGTAGGGGAATCATGCCATAGTTTCAAGTCATATTCCTTGACATATGTTTGAACATCTTCCTTCATTCCTCTCCAATAGAAGAGTGCAGCTATTCTTCTATAGGTATGATCTATGCCTGAATGACCTCCAGTAGGGGAATCATGCCATAGTTTCATGATATCCTTTCTCAATTGCTCATCAGGTCCTACCACTAACTTCCCATTTCTTCTTAACTGATTATGCATAAAGGTGTACCCTTTTGATTCTCCTCCTTCTTTCTTAAGACTCTCAATAAG